CTGCCTGCCGGGTTAAACCACAACACTGACTAGTGATTAAAAGATCTGCTAAGTGATTAAAAGAGCTCTAAATTGTGCCAGCTGTTCTCTGAAATGAAAACACCAGACCAGTAAAACCTTTGTTTATTTTCAGGTTTATATAAAGACGTATGGGGAACATGTTGGCTTCAGAATTTTCATGGATGCCATACTGCTTTCTTTGACAAGAAAAGTGAGTACATCTGTACAGTCATTTATTCTATATGTCCTAATTTATAGAAGCCTGGGTTTAACAAATATGCTCAGCGTATTTGTTGCTATTTCTGTTAAAAAGCCCATCTTGTTCTTTGATTAATAACGGAAAGGTCAGATGGATTTTCCTTGTTTGAAGTTGGCATGTTCTAGAATGCTGTCTGATCAGTGTATGGAGTATCACAAATGTTACTTGAATAGCAGGCTTTTATGGCAGAGTTTGATAGATTTGGACAGTGTGGGGTTGGTTTTTTTTTCCCCTATAGAGTAAATAAATCATTCTGTAGCATCTAATAGAGAATTCTGTACTCTGCTAGTACATTTTACTGGATGACTGAAAAAAACAGGGAACGTATATCATTCTCCATATGTTAAAAACAAGTCGGGAACAGTTGAGAAAGAGCACCAAAAGCCCAACAGGTGGCATGTGGGGAAACTCCCTCAATGTACAAGCAAAAAGCACCATGCACCCTCTTTCCTAGGGAAACTTTGGAAAAAAAAATGACATTAGGTACATAGTGACAGAATATAGCAGGGCTGAAGTTTCAGCACACACAAATATGTGATTATTACATAAGGAGACCAGTAAGAGAAATATGAAGATATCCGAGTTAATATGTATTTTTCACTGTAAAAAGACAAAGCACTTTGTCTTTTAAAAAGGAGAGAAAGAAGAGAGAGGAGCTACTGAAGGATGGAGCTGTTCACCTTAAAAAAATTCCTTAAAAATCTAACAAAAAATAAACACATTATTTATAAGCAGCTGAAAGGTAAGGTAATTGGTATGAAACAACATGGATTTATCATAAAAAATAAGTCATAACTATATAATTTCTTTATATAACAAGTTAATAGGCTTCCTGTATGGATGTCAAGTATCTTAATTTTAGTTAGGCTTTTGAGGGTAAGTCTCACAAGTTTCTCATAAACAAGATAGGAAAACTTTGTCTAGAAGAAACTACTGTAACCTGCTTGGAAAGCCTTACTTAAATAATAGTTGCCAATGTTTCCAGAGAGGCAAAAGGTGTCACAAAAGTGTTCTTCAGTGATTTGTCCTAGGTTCAGTCCCATTTAATAACTTAGTTATATTTTGACTGAATGATGGACTAGAGAATATGTTTATTGAATTTGCAGATAACAAAAATGAAAGAACCTGCAAGCACCTCACGGTACAGCATCATAATTAAAAATTTCCTTAACAAGTAAGAGAAATTGTATGGAAAAATGGATAAAATAAAGTGACAAGGGCAGGTTACTACACAAAGGCTGGATAAGTCGTACAGTTACGACATCTATTTAAAATAGGGGGTGAGTGGTTATTTTCTGCAGAAAAGTGTGAAGGTTACAGAATCACAAATTTAACATGAGTCAACAATGGCATGCTGTTGTGAAAAGCTAAACACACACATTAACAGAACAAGCATGTGAAAGAAATATAAAGTAACTTTTCCACTATACTCAGGATTAGTAATGGATCAGTTATGGTACTGTATCTGCCTTTGGGTGTCATGCTTCAAGACAGATTGTTCAATTACTGACATTGCACAGGAAAGTGGTAAGAATGGCTAGACGTATAAATGAAGGTTCATTTAAGTGGGGATTGTTTCATCTAACAGTGTCTAAGGGAAGACATGAATGTAGCCTTTAATTACTTAAAAGGTTGCTCTATGGTAGATGGAAGTAAGCTGTTCTCGATGTCAGTAATGTTGGCCAAGAAATAATGGAATTAAATTGCATCAAAGGTATTTAGGCTAAATGTTGGAAAAGATTTGCTAATTCCAAAGACGGAAACTGTTTACAGATCTAGAAAACACAATTTGTCTCATCTCCATTAAATACTTCAGGAATTTCTATTAAGACAGTGTCACTGAAACACTAGATCTATTGGGTTGGAGAAGCAGATTTAACCTGTTGAATGATTCTGCCATTGACAATGTAGATAAAATATAATTTGTAGCTTTTCTGTGTCCATTATAACCATTAGATGGCACTGTACTAATAAAGTTTAGTGCTGAAGATTAGAACGTGTAGCCAAACCCCCTCTGAAGTGAAGGTACACAATAAAACCTTTTCTGCCAGTCTGTATACTGAAGACAAAAAGTACCGCTTTGGGTCTCTGTCTTTAGAATTTCTGGATGTCTCTGCCAAAGGTTTTCCCATGTCATCAAGTTAGAGAAGAATATCTTCAACCATTTAGGAGGGTGTTTGATATTTGGCAAAATTATTAATTTCTATCTCTGTCCATAAAGATAAATTAAATTAGAAACTTAATGAAACCTATATGGGCCACAGAGGAATCCTGAAATGTTAGCCTGTGACCAGCCATTCTGATTTGAAGAATAAAGGGGTTTGAGAGGAGAAATGCTTTGATGCATATATATGATGAAGAGTCAGCAATATGTTTAAACTCTATTCTTACATGTATATGAGTATTTTAATTTGAGAATTATTAACATTCATAATTGTTCTTTCTTCAGAGAAGATATTTTCTTGTGATATTAAGATAGTTGAGGATAACACTTGAACAAAACGTCCTAATCACACACATTCAATCATGATCTCTAAATTATCTGTTAGTAGTCAGGACAGAGATCTTGGCGTTATTCCAACAGTTTTCCAAAAATGCCAGTATAATAACCAGATGTTTGTAATAGTCAAATACCCAATTAAGACTTACTAAGGAGGGAGGAAAAAACAAAAGAAAAAAAGATTATGTCACAGTATAAAACCTATGACATGCCTATCTTGTGAAAACGGTGCGGTTCTCATTTCACTTTCTCAAAAAGAACTACACAGCAAGAAGACTGTTCGGGCATGCAAAGACAAGCTAATTTGACTAGGATTCTTTTGCTTTGAAAGAGGCAACTGAGGGGGATGTAGTGGAGATTTATATTTTAAAAAAATTAATGTCATGAAGAGGGTGAACTAAGAACAGATACGGCATCAGTTCTGCACTGACATTATACATGCCTTCAGGGTTCTGTAAAACTCAATCATATGTCGTCTTCAGCCTTCTGTTCTCCAAATGGAAGTGTCCCATCATTTTCAGTTTCTCCTCACAAGGCAGCTGGTCCATCCCTATCATAGTAGTTGCCTTTCTTTGTACCTTCTCTTCCTTCCTTTGCAAATGCCAGAACCATGCACAATGCTCAAGATGGGGGTGCATCAAAGTTTCATATAGCAGCAAAATTATGCTCTCTGTCCTGTTGTTAGAACATTTCCTGGCCATTGCTTACTTTTTGGCTGCGACGGTGATTTCAGATATGGTTCCATATGAGTGAGGATGTTATGCTTGATAATTAATGCCAGTGCTGACTAAATGTGGTCTTCCTGTCATGGCTGTTCATTTCTGTTACTTCTGTTGGATTTAGTCATTGTGCAGACACAGGGCAAATCAGTTCAGTGATGTGACAGAAAACTAATTTACTACCCAACAGCAATTTTCCATACAGTCAACAAGGTGGTTCAACTTACCTTGGAACTATACGATTGCTTACTAGATCCCAGTGCTAGCCTGGTACAAATATTGTGTGGCCAATCATGAAAAGTATAACAAGAAACCATCCTTTAAACTGGGGTGTTCCTATCACTTAAAAAAAAGAGAGAGCATTTATGTGACTTTGTGCAAATCTTTAAAAAAAAAAAAAAATTATCTTGCAGGCTTTACTCTGTGGTCTCGGTACTTCTAACATGTTTCTACAATTTAACAATTTATTACAGGTACATTAAGTATATTAGAGACCTGGCTATTTTTGCTCTTAGTGAGGTTGTTTTCAAAATGCAAGATGCCAGCAGAAGAATACTGGTTTGTATTAAAATGCATTTGTGCCTACTTTGCTTCTGTTTAGGTGAAAATGCCAGATGTAGAATTTTTTGTTAATTTGGGGGACTGGCCTCTGGAGAAAAAGAAGTCCCCACAGAACCTGCACCCCATCTTCTCATGGTGTGGGTCCATTGAGTCAAAAGACATTGTCATGCCAACATATGACTTAACAGACTCAGTTTTGGAGACTATGGGACGGTAAGAAATTGCTTAAAATTTTCACAAAATTCACAGCGAATGATCTTCCAAAAAGATACATGTATTAACAGTGTATTAACTGGTTTACTCTTTATTTATTCATTTAGACATTGGCACCTGGTAGGTAGGCAGTAACTGCGTAATCAGTATCTTAACATTAACCAAGTTATGTATTATATAACATAAATTACATATATTAAAATACTTCACTGTTTTGTTCACAAAAATCAAAATTAATCTAAACATGGTTGAGTCACTGAACACAGCACTTAGAGGGAATGTTTCGAGGGTATGTATTTTGTTTGTTTGCTTTGTTTCTCCCCCGTGAACATGTTGACAACTGGCCAGGTCTCTCTTTTCCTGATTTTCCTAGCATCTTTTTTCTGAACCTTTTAAAGCCTTGCGTAGCCAGAATTCTCGACCTGGGACCTACCATCTCCCGCTTGGGCTACTGATCATAACTGGCCTTCGTAACTGCTCTGTCGCTGACTTGAAACACTACACAGCCAGCTTCTGAGAGATCTTTGTTATCCACTTGGACCTTGTTTATCATTTCACTGCATTCAGTTCAGGTTCCTTGTCTTTATTATCACGACTTTTCCTAAATTTGCTCCCTGCTGTCCCCCCCAGTTTATGTGTTTTAATTTAGTGAAGGAAGTGAAATGTGTTGTGTTAAGCTAGTTACATAAAAACCTTGCTTTGGACTATAATGACTGCCTCATCACCATTATCAGCTATTGCATTACCCTGTACCGCCTTCATCTGTCTGGCAACCATATCCACTTTTAGCCGCTTTTTTCCATGACAACTGACAGGTACTCTTTCCACACGCCATGTTGTCATTGAACTGACGCTGTCTTGCCACAGGCCTGTGAACTTGACATTCCATATCTATTTTTATTGGTGCAAAAATACTGATACAATACACATACGAGTGTGCTCATGACTTACCTTCATCCTTGGTATTTCCCTATTGGTCCTGTAAACTCTTTCAAGTAATTGCACTTTAAAAAATTTCCAGTAGGCTTCACTATTAAATCACTTCTTTCTCCTCCAGAGTCAGTCTGGACATGATGTCAGTTCAAGCAAATACTGGTCCACCATGGGAAGACAAGAATACCACAGCATTCTGGAGAGGACGTGACAGCCGCAAAGAGAGGCTTGAACTTGTAAAACTGAGCAGAAAATACCCAGAGATCATAGACGCTGCTTTCACAAACTTTTTTTTTTTTAAACATGATGAAAGCCTCTATGGCCCCATAGTTAAGCACATTTCATTTTTTGATTTTTTTAAGGTAAGCCACTAACCATTTTTCATAGAACTATGTTCTCAGTGTTTCCCATTATCAAATAACTTTGTACATATTATTGATAATAAAGTGATTTTTAGTTTTTCAGCACAACGCCAATAACAAGCATGAACAGGCATCCCTCCAGTGGGATTAACTGCTATGTAGCTCTTACGCTGAAGATAGTAATGTTTGATTTACATCTAAAGGTTCTGTAGAACCTTGTGTAAACTATGTAACTCCAAGTTCCTTTTTATTTCTTTTTCCTGATTCAGCGATCAGGACTACTAACATAACTAACATAGTGGGAAAATCAGTGGATGAAGTGGCACATCTACCCTCACATCCGAGGATGAGCGTCTAAGAATTTCCGGAGAACTTAATTGATGAAGAGGGCATCTCTGTGTACCCTGCACTGTGATGAATTCCAAACTAAATAATAAAAGCTACTTAAACATTGATGCTTGCCTAGCCAATCCTACATTTCTCAATATCGGCAAGTCAGTAATACCAGTGCCCTCACAACAATATAACCTAAGCAAGCTACTTGGATCTTCTGTTTGTTAATAACTTATGGTCATTTTCTTTCCAGTATAAATACCAAATTAATATTGATGGCACAGTGGCAGCCTACAGATTGCCTTATCTACTAGCAGGAAACAGCGTGGTGCTAAAGCAAGACTCCATCTACTACGAGCATTTTTATAACGAGCTGCAGCCATGGAAACATTATATTCCATTTAAAAGTGACCTGAGTGATCTACTAGAAAAACTACAGTGGGCAAAAGAGCATGATGAAGAGGTAAATATACATTTAGAAGTACTCGGCAATGTTTCTAGACAAAATAGAGAGAGCAAAAAGTGCACTTCTTTAAAACAAAAAAATCTATTAGAAGGACTTAAAATTATTGTCATCAACTTTACAAATAAGAAAAACACTTTTAAAAAAATACATAACAATGCCCTTAATTTGAAATTAAATTGAACTTTGGAAAAACTGGGAGTATTTTCATAAGAATGCCTTACTTTTAAAATTAATAATGCTTAAATAAAAACAAATAAGTTATCCTAAACTGTCAACACTATACTTAACTCCAGACTCAATACTGAAATAACTACTATTTTTGGAGAATTTTAAAAAACCTTTTATTTTCTTTGACAGGCAAAAAATATTGCAAAATCTGGACAAGAATTTGCAAGAAACAATCTCATGGGAGATCACATTTTTTGTTACTATTTCAAACTTTTCCAGGTTAGTATATTTTTAATGGCTACTACCACAAAAATAGAAATCCCACAGAAAGAATTCAGGGCAACGGAGCTGCTGGAAATTGGCCAGTCCAGTACTCGAAGCCACAAAGCAAGCAGCAGCAGTTTAGAACTTCAGTTGGTTTACAAGCCTTGCATGCAGTTATTTCCTATGAAACCCCTAAGACTACGCTGGCGGTTTGAGAGGAGCAATCGGATCCCATAAATCTTGATCTAGTCTGCAAGAATATGTTGCCCACAATGATCAAAGAATTCCACATCAGACGCACGCCCTGTGAACCACAGCTGAAAATATCTGTGCATTAGCACCGAGATTCCGAAACTCCAGTGAGGCAGCCGAAGGGGCTCCTGTCTGCAGTGAAGTATCTGCTTACCCTGTCTGTGACGCAGTATGGAGTAACAGATTGTGTAGCCCCAGAGTTTTTGCAGAATGACTCCGCTGAGTTGGTGCAGTATTTACAACCAGATGTACAATCCAACAAGTTTATGAATTAACGATACCTTCCTTTTTTAAAACTAGGAATATGCCAGCTTGCAAGTGAATGAGCCAAAAATCAGAGATGGGATGGAGAAAGTGCAGCAGCCTGATGATGACCTTTTTCCATGTACTTGCCACAGAAAAAAGGTACATACACCGTTGAACATAAAGCGCTGGATGTCTTCAGTTCATATTCAAACAAATTGGAACAGCCATGGCTTAACAGCCCATGGTACCAGTTACCAGACCATTAACACTATTTCTTAATGTATTTGCAGGACTAGACAGTTAAAAAATGAGTTTCCAATTAACTGAAAAATGTTTCTTCTTTCTTGACTACAGGCCAAAGATGAACTCTGACAGAAAGAAGTAAAATAATTTTTTGAATATTTACCTACATTCAGAATGCCGCCTTAAGGAAAGAAGAAAAATTTGGATTAAAATGCCAATGGATAATGTCAATGGATATTATGAAGTTTACTGTATCATGATCTACATATGGAAGAAAACCAAGCACCCCCTATTTCCTTTTTATCATGCAGTGGTTGCAGAGCCTTGTTCAAAAACATTTTTATAATCTTTTTTTTTAAATAAAAACCATGTTTGTATCAGTCATGTGCTACTGTCCTGAGATAGATACCTTGGAAATGCAGATATTTTTACGCATGCTCATTCTACTGAGTCTATTCACAACTGTGTTTTGCAAAAAAGGGCAGATAAGAATTGTAAATCTACTCCCCCACCTCACGTAGCTATCCAAAATTGTCTTTTCCAGACCATAACTTTGTTCCTTCTGAGAGGATCAGTATTCTCAAAGACAGTGATGTGGGGTTTATAATGTATCTTTTTAACCTGAAGAAAAACACAGTGCTATTGGACACTTAAAACTTTTATCTAATATTCCTAAAGTTCCATACGATTTTTCACAGATGCTTTGTCTGTGAAACTCAGTCTCTTTGACAATATGAAAAGAATTCAGTAGCATTGAGCAGTGACTGCTGAAACGAAAACGATCATTGTTTCAACAGTCTAGTCTATTTTTAAAATACTTCCTGATACTAAGTAATTCAGCTGTTACTTTCTGAGGATATCAACATAATCTGAAAATGATCCATAGGTGGATTTAAAGTCAAGTCTAAATTCATCAAATTCTAAAGTTAGCACATATGTTTCCAGTCCAAAGTGAGAATTTATTTTCTCTGTAACATAGCCAGTCAGTTTAATAACCACGTGTTCTTTGCAAACATTTAGATGTGTGCTGCGCTTATTGAACAACATTACTGCTGGGAGATCAGCATTCTTGAGGCGTCTTGTGAGAAACAACGGAAGAATATTGTACCTGATTTTTAACTTCCACCTGCCTATTATTTTTACTATAGTAAAAGCAAGCCTAAGGAATAGTTTGTTTGATCATGTGGTAAACAATATATGTTGTAATTTAACTATACTAACCTAGAGTCTTAACTAGATCTTTTATACAATACAGCGCCAAAATAAAGCTATCTGATCTAGGCACCTGACCAAAACATCACAGAAATCCTTTCCGCACACCAGGACTGACTCAGCATACATTTCACCAGCCCTGCACTGTCACACACACCAGCTCCTCCCAAGAACACCCTCCAGGCTAAAGCTGCCTGTTCACCTTCAACTGGTCGCACTGCCGCAGCAAGCTGCAAGCCATAAGACGCAGAATGACCGGAGCAGGTTTTGGGCAACTCTTGGCAGTAGAGATGAGACCACCCTCTCAGGAGACAAAACCAAGATGCTTTTCTCAGGACCAACCAGACATTTCATCTCAGGGGTCATCATTCAGCTGATGATACTGGCTGATGACTTGGCTGAAAGCAATTAATACATTGCTATAACCTTTGGTTATAGTTACTGATAGCCCGTAACAGGGAAGCCTGCAGCTTCCAGCACACACGAAGTATTTCATCTACTCTGCAACATCAGAGCTCAGTTGAAGACCCGAGTTCCTTCTGCTAATGGGTGACGAGGTCCAGATCCCCACCTGCCTCTTCTGAGCCCTCCTGACAGAAGCCTTGTGCAACATGCCGTAACTGCTTCCTCCTCCAGGAGTTCCTCCACCAGTATAAACATAATTTGTCTTTTATCAGTTCTTATTTAATAGTCTTCCATGCCCATCTCTCCAAAGGGCCTCTGCGACCAGTCCTTTACACAAGGGAAGCTGCTGGAGGGCGACTTTTCAAAACTGACCCATGTTCTTTGCTCCTTATGCACAACCGTGCCTGCATCTCCTCCTCCCCACACAGGCCGAGCATCTGGCTCCTTAGGGTAGTGACGCTGTAAATGACGAGGGATTCCTCTACCTGCGTGACAGGTTTTGAAGCATGCTGGAGTGCCAGGATACAGCAGCAAGGCAGAGTGGTACAACACATGCTGGCCAGTCTCAGGGGCTGTGCTCGCAGAATTCTACAAATCAGTAGGTTTTAATTTCAAACAAGTATAGCATCAGTAACATACTCAGAAATGAAATGCATCTAAAGATTTGCTGTCAAAACAGATTCTTTCCAGTATATTACTTCAAATGTCAGTCAAAAGCATTTACTCGTTAATGCAGAGCACTAAGTGTTATATACAGTTATTTGCATAGAAATACAGAAAACAATGTTGCCACAGTATTAAATATTTGGTAAATTTTCTGTCTTTCCTTTAAAAAGTTCTTTATTGTTTTGCATAATTTTTTTTCATTCACACAAAAATGTTTTATTTGCATTTACACTTAGACCTCTGAAAAAACCTGTTTTAAAAAATACGTCTCTCAGAAATAACAAACTCTAATTTGCTGCATTTAGGAAAAGCTAAACGAACATACTGCTTAAACACTGCAAATCATGTGTGCTCCAGTTGAATATTCTCTCCAAGCCATGAAACAACTTGTGCATTTATTTCTTCCATGATATCGTCTGTTGTTCGTCCTTTGACTGCCATGCCATGGTTTGCTTTATCAATCCAATGGATTTTTTTAGGGGCTTTCATTTTGCTTGCCACACCTTCTAGCAATTGCTGTGGAGAAAATAAGAATGAAAAAGTTAGAGAATCAGCTGCTACAAACTGTGCAACTCACAGAGGTCTCTTGCTTTGCCTGTGCAACACATAATAGGCAGCTCTTAAAAACAAAATGGATCTGCATGCACATTAAAAACATGTTGACAGAAAAGATATGATGATACTGTGTTCAGTAATGGAATTTGCTCAAAGATTAGCCCTCACTCAAACACAGAACAGTAGAAAATTAGAACTTAAAAAACTGCAAAGGTCACAACCCGGTGCAGGCTCCTTCCCCACGAAGAGGGAAGGACGAAGGAATCCACTTCTACTGCCAGAAGATAGTACTAGCAATAAAATGACAGAGCTTCTTACATCAGGTTTGTCTACTTGGCAGAGTAGCAATATAATTCCCTAAAGACTGGCTTTGGCTCTGTTCAACTTTCTCAGCAAAGAGATCTAAGAACCATCTCAGAAAGTCTTAAAGATTTCCCCGTTAAGAGGGCACTCCAAAGGATCTACTGGTCACTAGCCTGACTTATTGTGGTGACAACTCCTCACGAAAGCATTATGACTCCTTAGAAACTGTCCAAGCATGGAAAATGGCAATTGCACACAGTCCCAAATTCAAACTGAACTGTTCAAGAACAACAGATACCTATTTGCAAGAAAACAAGGCAGAAAACCACTGTATTCTGATCTCTGGACACCTCTTCTTCATCTCTACAAAAATAATCGCTTTCTACCACAGAACCCTTTGCTAGAATTTGTCATGAAAATGTGATGAATGTGGAATGGTAGCACAGCACAGTGTTTATGTTTTGTAATCTGAAATGGTTAAAACAGAATAGCAAATAACTTGCTCCTTCCATAGGCCACTTTTAATTTGTACAATCTTACCCTACCAAAAAAGACAAAACATTTAAATTAGCAGTATTTCAGTGGCCCAAAGATGAGTTTGCCAAAGTGGATGATCAAGCACAATCCAGAATTTTTAAGCAGCAAAAGAAAGCATCCCCAGGCTTCCTTATGTCCGATGAAGTTTCCTACCCAAGGCTTCCTTCAGAAGATATATATATTTAGAGAAGGCTGTTAATCAAAGCCACAGCTGTGTATATGAGTACAGACATCACTCAGACTCACTCCTATTCCTCCACACTGCCCCTTCACAGCAGGATTTACAAGGGTACTCACTTTTTCACACATCTCATCTGCTGATCCTGAGACAAACAGCACCGGACACCTGATAAATAACAAATCTTCATCCCGGAGCTTGGACTGAAGTTTTGGTCGATGCAATGGGTAAGATAAACACACTAGACCTTGAATGAAGTCATCATCCTCCTCCTGGCTAAGATGACGTATCACAGAGGCAGCAGCTCGTGAGCCCATGGAACGGCCTTTCTCCCATGTTAAAATAAAGGAAAAAAGTATACCTGCTGTCACCTCATCTACATTCTGTTCGAGGAAACAGCTCCTAAAAACAATCCAACTGAGTGTATTTCAGCGTACCAGTAGTACAAGATGCTAGGGATGTTCTTATTCATCTACTCCATGAAAAATATTAATCCTAGTTTCAACACTTTCTGCTAAAATATTTGTCTGGTTATATTATGTTTTCACATCCCCATTTAAAAAAAAGAAGGAAGAGGGGGAAGAAAAAGAAAAGATAAATGGAGAGGGATCCTTTGCAATACTGGAAGGAACAACAGCCCATCCTGGGGGCAGGAGGAAGAGGGGGACAGGTCCTATGCTCCAGGATCCTTGAAATTCCAGATAGCAATACTATTATCTTGTATCATTTTTTTCATGCAACCTTAATCTGCTCAAACTAAAAGCAAGTTTTATGCGCCTTACTCCCAAAACAAATCCAGCAAGCGTTTATGCACCTTCAAAGTTCAGCCTAAGAGTAAAAGTAGAAGGGGAGGGGGGGGGAAGTGTGAACTTGCAGCATGAGGTCAGTCAGTAACAGCAAGGGGATATCAAAATATCTCCTCAACGAAGAGGCATATGAGCTGACAATGCTCTGTAATTGAGTGTTAGAAGTGGCCGATTCCAGTGGGATTAATTTGCATCAGCGCAGATTTTGTTTCGCTTAGTCAGAGAACATTCAGGGTTTCCCGTATCAAGTTATTCCTAATCACACCCATCTACTTCCCTTTTTCACACAATATAACTGCTACTGCCACTATATTTTATCTACCAAAACATGCTTTGGTAAAATGGTTTTACATTTACCAGTAACTGGAATTCTTCATGACCCGCAGTTAAAAAGTACACATGGATTATCAGGGAACCCATACCCTGCCACTTACAAGCGACAAGGAAGTTTTCTCCCAAAGTACCTGGAAAACATGGCCTATTGCTCTTTCCTTCCTCCTTCTGGAGCGAGATCTGTGGCATCATGAGGAGGGAGAATAGGTCTAGACAGCCATGCTCCCAAGAGAACGCGGTGAAGGCTGGATGTCCCCATTTGTGACCCGAGAAGCAGTGCTGCTCGAGCCAGCCGCGAGAGAGCCGAGCTGCACACCCGCCCTGCGCAGCCACCAGGGCTGGCAGCATTCAGATGCCCAAACGCAGGTCTGTAAGGGGGCTTGGCACCTGCGCTCCCATGGCAGTCAGTGGACTGCTAATCAATTAATGAAGATTACAGAGCATTCAACTCTTTGTACAGGAGGTCCTCCCAGCAGATAACCGAATTGCTCTCCCTAGGCAATACAGACTAGTGGGAGTTTATTCAGCTTGTTCCCAAGTTAGACAGTAAGCTTTTAGTGCCCACCTCAAACTGAAACCTGTCATCCACATCTGTTCACTCACTTCTTACCAAAGTGGGACAGACTTAAAAAACGGAGTAATTACAGATTGCTATCATTAGAGGCAGTATAAGAGAGAAGATTATAGGTAATAAAAACAATACCTGCAAGGAAGACACCCGAAAGTTTATAATCATCAGAAAGCTTTAAGTATTCCTAAAAAAATAAAATGAAGAGAAACATTACAAGTCAGAATTCAGGCAGCCGAGAGGCAGGGATTTCTTTTGTTTGTAGCTACTAAACACAAAATGGGAAACTCTTTCAGTGCTGCAGATTAAACAAAGAACAGGTACATACAAGTTGCTATCTTGTTTTTTCACACAAATTATTTCATAACATTTTGCAGTAACAACATAATAAACATAAGCAATTTCATATTTGTTCTCAGCATGTCTAAAATTTCAGATGCTCTATCAAGTTACCAAAACATAAATGGTTACTGTGTATCAACTTAGTTCTAGTAACAGACCGCAGGCACACTCTTAGCCCATCAAAAAGCAAAACAAGTTAGCAAAAATGCTCTTCACTGAGGCTGAGGTCACATATTTCCAACGAAAAGTTTAAGACAGAATCAGTTGTGTCTGACAGAGAAGATAAAATTCAGCAACAAATTTTTCAGTTTTTAGGAGATAACTAATCAGATGCTACCTTAGCAGAGGCCTTTCAATTACCTTTACACAGCAGCATATTAATATAAACTAACATTATGCTTCTTCAAAAAAGAATGGAGAACAGATCCCCATTAAAGCTAGCAAAGTCTAACCTCAAATTAATGTACATATAATCACAATGACATCATACAAATTAATTCCTTAAGAACTGCACTTAGTTCCCTGACAAAAATGTCTGATGCTCAATGCAAAGCACTCAAGCTACCTTCCCATACACCACTAAAAATAGCTAATCAGGAGAAAATTTTCACTCTTT